TTGACGTTTGACCACCCCCTAAAATAAGTATTGTGAAAATTCGAAAAATTAAATTTGGATATCGAATTTCGACTTGGAAAAAAAGGTCAAACGACATAAATGCACATTAAGGCCCCATAATGGTTTAAAATTATGTTTCTATGTTTGACCACCCTCCAAAATAGTTTTAGTGTTTCTAAGTAGTGTGAAAATTCGAAAAATGAAATTTCCAAATCGAATTTCCGCTTGGAAAAAATGGTCAAACGACATAAGGTTACAATAAAAATCACTAACGATTAAGAATTATGTTTTGACGTTTGACCACCCCCTAAAAATTTTTAATGTGCCCAAGTAGTGTAAAAATTAGAAAAATAAAATTTCGAAATCACACTATTTGGGCACATTAAAAATATTTAAGGAGATGGTCAAACGTCAAAATATATTTTTTCCAAATGGAAATTTGATTTTCAAATTTAATTTTTCGAATTTTCACACCACGTTGGCAAATTAAAATTATTTTAGTCAAACGTCAAAACATAATTCTAAAACATTATTAATCTTTATTATGCACTTATGTCGTTTGACCATTTTTTCTAAGCCAAAATTTGATTTCCAAATTTTATTTTTCGAATTTTTACACTACTTGGGTACATTAAAATTATTTTAGGGGGTGGTTAAACGTTAAAACATAATTCTAAATCGTTATAGATCTTTATTGTAAACTTATGTCGTTTGACCATTTTTCCAACTAGAAATTCGATTTGGAAATTTTATTTTTCGTATTTTCACACTATTTAGAAGCACTATAACTACTTTAGGGGGTGGTCAAACGTCAAATTATATTTCTAAATCGTTATAGATCTTTATTATAAAGTTATGTCCTTTGACCATTTTTTCCATGTGGAAATTCGATTTCAAAATTTTATTTTTTGAATTTTCATAGTATTTGGGCACATTAAAATTATTATAGGTGTGGTCAAACGTCAAAACATATTTTTAAATCGTTGTGGATCTTTATTGTAAACTTATGTCCTTTGACCATTTTTTCCAAGTGGAAATTCGATTTCCAAATTTAATTTTTCGAATTTTTACACTACTTGGGCACATTAAAATTATTTTAGGTGGTGGTCAGACGTCAAAACATAATTTTAAACCTTTATGGATATTTATTATGTCCTTATGTCGATTGACCATTTTTTTGAACTAGAAATTGGATTGATAAATGTTTTCTTTGAATTTTTAACCCCTCTGGGGTCTTTTAAGATCTTTTAGGGAGTGATCAAACGGCAATACATTATTTTAAACGTTTTTGGATCCTATTGTGCCTTTCTGACCATAGATCTATCTTTCAAAGTTGAAATTCATCCCAGAACTCTTGTTTTTCTATAATTTACAACCCTTAAATTATTTTAGGGGGTGTTAAAAAAATTTAAATGGTAGTCAAACATAGTCAAAAATTGGTTAATCTTATGGTGCAATGTTTTAAAAAATATTAACTTCGGGGAGCCAGCGAATACTCGGCCAATAATATATTTTTTAAATATTTAGGTTTCAGAGGGTGGTCAAACATGGTCAATAGGTGGTCAAACGTATGCCGCTTCTAAAACAAACATTTTCGAATTTCGGGGGGCCAGCTTCACAGAGCTATGACAGTTGCTGGTAAGGAAGTGACACATGATAGCCAGAAAAGTAACTTCTGGTTAGGCCAAAAAGGATCATGTGGTCGAGGTGCACACAACATTTTCTAGGCGACTGTCGCATCGAGTAGAGCCAATATTTTTTTTTACATTCTTGTTTTTGAAAAGTGGCTTAAGTGGAAGAATTGTTTCAAATTTTTACTGGTCCAATAAAAATCCATTGTTTAATAAAATTTGTACAGAATTACTAACGATAAGTATGATAAACCTGTGTTTATAAAAAGGGCCTTAGAGTAAATGCGCCCAAAAAAGTGACACTTTAAAGCGGCCGTAAAGTAAATACGGCCGTAAAGCAAATGCTTCAAAAAACTGACATTTTAGGGATGTTAATAAATCCGTAAAATATAATGTTTTATGACAATCACCTAAAAACATATTTACGTTATTTCAAAATTATTTGAGAGGCTAATACAGGTAGTGAACCTTGATATAGACATGGGTAACGCACTAAAATTCTTTGGGTTAATACACTAACTCCGGCGCACTGTACTGCACCAACTCATTGCGTTAACGCAATTGCGTTACATTACTGCCTGTGCCGAATGAAGTCAATGCGCCTCGGTGTATCCCGTGATACCGGTGTTATCCAGTGCCTTTTTAAGTGTCAAACCTGTTTGGGAATTTAACTAATTATTTTTAAATATTTAAAAATAAACGAAAATATAACAGTGTAATGCACCCCTTTTTTTATTTCATTGTGTTTGGATTTTACAAAGAATACGAAAATTACAGTTTCTATAAAAAGGAGAGAACTTTTGTAGTGAATTATTACTAGCAGTCAATCAAAATGGCAAGAACTGACAGTACACAAGGTTAAAATCCAAAAAATTCTACTTACAAATGATGTGACGTTGCAGAGAACCTAATTATTATTTATTATTGACAAAATATAAATACAATAATTACAGTAAAGTTTGAAAACATTTAACATTTGACAAGGAGCCCTAGAATAAGCATCTTGCCTAGGCTGTGTAGCCTGTGTTGCTATTGTGCTCATTCTAGGTCCCCTTTTTTAAATTGTATTATAATATATAATATAATATAAATGGTAAGCATAAAAAAAAAATAAACAAAAATTGGAATAATAATGAAGATGATGTATTGGGATTTGGCAGATACAGTGCCAGACTTATTGATGTTGAATTGGTTAATGCTTGAGGAATCGCAGGGCATTATCGGTATATATTTTTTTTTTTTTTTAATTTGAATAGGACAATGAATCAGAATAAAAATTTACTATTGTGAGATAGAATATATTTCTTTACTTCGGTTTTAAATATATGTTCTTTAGCGATTTGTTTTATATTTATAGGTAGGAGGTTATAATATTTTGGGCCAAAATAAAAAAAAGATTTTTGGGTAACTGATTTTTTAAAAAGGTTAACGGCTAGGTCTATATTGGCAGTAGAGCGAGTAACTCGAGAGTTTTTATATTGAAACTTTTTAGTACTGTTGTAAATTTTTATAATACATTGATATATAAATAGCGATTTGATGTTAAAAATTTGTGTTTCATCATAAAGTTTTTTAGTTCGAAAAAGTTTAGGCTTATTAAAGATAATTTTTAGGATAGTATTTTGAGCTGTTTGTAATATATTAAGTGTAGAATTAAAAGCATCGCCCCATGCGATAATACAGTATCTTAGAATGGATTCCACAAATGAGTTGTATAGCATGATTAAACTTTTTCGTGATAGAATCTGCCGAAGCACGTAAAATTTATGCATTAGAGCTCTTATTCTTTTACTTAGGTGTATGATGTGATCAGACCAGCGCAAGTATTGGTCTACTATAACTCCTAAGTATTTTATTGCTTCTACTTTATCTAAAGGGGGGCACTTACAGTTTGGTTCACAAACTTGTGAATGTAATTTTAATGTAAAATTAGGTGGTTGGTTTACTATAGTTGGACTAAAAGCAATAAATTTTGTTTTTTTTTAATATTTAGAGTTAGAAGGTTGGTGTTTAGCCACATGTTTACCTTTTTTAAGCCAGCTTCTGCGTTATGTTGAATTTCATCCCATTTTTCGCCTTTAAAAACTAATGCTGTGTCATCAGCATAGCATACTAGATGACCAGAGAAACCATTTATTTTAGTTATGCTATTGATGTAGACCAGAAACAGTATTGGACCTAATACTGTTCCCTGTGGTACACCAATTTTTAAGACAGTACCAGAACTCATTTCTTTACCAATTTTGACTTGCTGATTTCTATTTGACAGATAATCCGAAATAAGTTCAAGAGCCAATCCCCTAACACCGTAGTTACTTAGTTTGCTTAGAAGGATTTCATGAGAGACGGTGTCAAACGCCTTGGCCAAATCCAGGAAAACTGCTATGCATCCCATGGAGTTGTCCAAAGCGGACGCAGTTTCCTCTAAGAAGTCCAATATCGCGTTTTCGGTGTTAGATTTTTTTATAAAACCATATTGAGAATGAGTTATGATATTATGCGATTCAAAGAAATTAATTAATCTTTCTTTAAGAGCACTTTCAAAAATCTTCGCAAAATTGTTAATGAGAGATATTGGCCTATAATTTACTGGCTTACTAGAGTTCTCCGATTTGAAAATGGGGATGACAACTGACTCTTTCCATTGATGAGGAATTTTCCCGCTTTGCAATGCTAGGTTTATAATGTGTGCTAATGGGGAGACGATATATTGATGAATATTTTTAATAATTTTTGAATCTATATTGTCTGGACCCGGGGTACAGTTATTTTTCAGTTTTGATATAATTTGTATTACCTCGTTTTCAGTAACTGGTTTTAAAAATATACTAGAGTTTATTTTTTCATTTTTGAGAAAATGCGGAGGGAGGTTTACTTGAGGTATTTTGTTTGCCATATTTACACCTAATGATATATTTTGAGTATCTGCATTACGAGTTAGATTAATGACGTAAATTTAAAATTCTCAACTCGTCGGGGAAAACGGAATCATTGCTTGGCTCATGGCGCATCAACTCTCGACTCCGTATCGAAAATTGCGTTGCGTTGATGCAGTATCAGCCGGTGTATCAACACTCGTAACGCATACCATTGCGTTAACTCAATAACGCAACGCTGCGTTACCTATGTCTACTTGATAACCTCGGTTTATTGCTGTCCCGGAATGGATTCGAACCTTCCATGTTCGTGTTCTACGCACGATGCCTTGAAAATGCGGCTATGAGGACATGATTTGTTCGGAGTCCCAGTTGCTGTCAATTTGAATATTTGATTAAAATCGACCGATAGTTTTTCGGAACTTTGAACAAATTCCATCTAATTATTTATAGTTAGAATACATATTATTAATCTCAATTTTTTTTTCCTTACCTTAAAATAAGAGGTCTTTACAATAAATAAAACGAACTTATGCCAGCCTTTAAAATGCCTGAAGATATCAGTTTGTATTTCTCCAGGATGTAGGGAATAAACACTGACTGTTGATCCTTTCAAGAGACTTGCTAATTTTCTGGTGAAAATGATATTACCCAGCTTACTGTTACTGTACGTTTTGACAGGGCTTTCGCCATATTTATTTATAGTGTCGGCTGTTACGTTTGCAAAGTAAGCTAAACATGATGATACATTTATTATTCTGCTGTTACCCGTCCTCCGCAATAAATCTGGAAAACAATTAAATTAATTAAATAATCCGTTTCTAAAAGTCAGTAAAGGACTACATAGTTTCCTTGTGGTAAATGGCTTTCAGTCGAATCTACTGAATTTTATATACGTTGCAGTTTTTGACCTTATAGTTAAAAGTGTCCATGGGCACAAAGTTTTCCTCAAATTAGTGTTTAAGATACAGGGTGTTGAACTTTCAAACATTTCAAAAATTGATATTCTTCAAATTGGGACCTGCCAGGGATTTATTTTAACTTCATTCATTCATCACGCCGCGTTCGTATTTGGAATAAGGCCCCAGTGCTATTCGATGGTTTGCTATAGAAATTTATTGGGTATGTAAATTTGTTTTTAGTTGATTTCCAAAGTATCCAGTTGATTTTATTATTAACATTTATTACAGCGACTAGCGAAGATTTTTTATTTATTTATTTATTTATTTAATACCCAACAGGTTTAACAACCTAATTATAGGATATCAGTTTATATACAAGAAAAATTTAGCAAAAAAAAATAATGGACAATAAAAGGCATGATCAGTTTACAAATTACAAATTGTTCACAATACATCATATATACAGAGTATTATTACAACCGCATGCTCTCTATTACTGCTACTACTAATTTATATAATTAATTATTACATTACTAATTAACTATTAATATTAATATAAAGAGCTTAACAAAGACACCAGAGTCATACACTATAATTTAATATGTATAACAATATACTTTTCTCATAACGACCTATGGTTACACTCCAATCAATTTCAATAATATTATTTATGTTATTAGCAAGTTTCAGCATGGCTTCTAATGGAGAACAGACATAAGATCTTATGTTTCCAAATAATGGTGTAAAACGTGTAAATCTTGATGGTACTTTAAATGGTATTACTGTTAATAAATGTATAGATGTGCATATGCTATTAACTATTTTATATAAGAAAGTCATTCTAATTATTTGTTAGTACGCCTCGATATTTTATAGTATTTAAATGTAGCATTCATGTTATTTAAATCATAGGATTAGATTTGCCTAGATCTGGAACTTATATTAGCGTAATTTTTTGTAGGGCCTTATTTACGCCTGCTTTAGTGATGTCTTCCTTATTGACGCCTGCCTTAGGGCGTGTACATGCCGAATATGCCTTGATGATCGATGATCGATGATCGATCATCGATGATCGATGATGATCGGTGAGCGATGACTGATGAATGATGATAGATTGGTGTACGTGCCGAAGATTCGATGAGTGATGATAGATATTTCAAACTGTGTTGCCAGGTGAACGATAATGATCGTTATAAACGATTAATTTGGTGTTCTGAACAATCTACAATAATACCAAAATGTACGATAATTTCATCACATAACTCAAACGTTTTGTTTCAAAAACAACTGTAAAATTTTATGCTTTCCTCTCAAAATGCCTTATATTTTTGCTGCGTCACTGCAACTACTAAATTGAATGAAAACTGAAATCTGCCAAAGTCTATCAAGGAAGAGTGGCATCAGAAAGTGGCAGCATTATGGGAGGAGCTTAGAGTAACCCTTCTTTGTTTTTTATATTCGGTGCCTCGTTGATATACGTCAACTCAGCGAGGTAAAGAAAGATAATGCATTGGACTACTATAGCCCGAAACAGAGTTAGGTCATAATATACTGGCACCTTTTTAGGGACTTTTAATTAACGGACCACACCACCTCCAACGAGAGCTATCCGCCATAAATACCCCAATTGTCACTAGAGAAATTGTAGACCACCTCGTAACCATACTATTCGTTGGCTACTTGTTTATCTGGAGGTAGCCGGAAAATTTTATTTTACAGAAAGTGAGGTGATGAAGGCGACATCAGCATGCTCTCAGTAAAGCAGTAAATACCGCATACAGATACCGCACCAAAAAATTAGGGAGCGGCCTTAGGCTAGAGTAGAGTAGTATCTAGTAATTTTGGAATTATAATCTCATGCTATAATATACCTCCGTTCAAAAGCCCATACACATAGAAATGTCAACTGTATCAATTCAATATCGAGGTGGTTAATAAACTGCTGGCCACTCGAACTTACACATAGAGATTTTTGGGCAAAATTTGAAGTTCAATATTTTTAATAGGAATGCAAATTTTTGAACGCGGCTTGCAGATTTTAAAATCTACTGCGTTCAAAAATTTGCATTCCTATTAAAAATATTGAACTTTAAATTTTGCCTAAAAATCTCTATGTGTAAGTTCGAGTGCCCAGCAGTTTATATTATAGAGACACCGAAATGATTTCTTACTTTTATAACTACTACTGCTTGAATTTTTCGATTGTTAAACTAAGGAATATAATTTACTAAAGTCCTCTCTTTGAACAAAGTGTACAAAGAAACTAAAAAAAAAATAAGTTCATTATATTTTTTTAGTGCAAATATACCTAATTATGTCCCTAGCAAAACTCAACGGAGGTTACTACTGATTTTAGTAATCATATATATTAAACGTGTCAGAAAGTGTGCACTTACATACGTTTTATGATAATTACTGCAGCACTTTTAAAATTTTTATAAAACATAAAACTACTACTTTATGTCAATGTATATGAGCTGTTCCAGGACCGAACCTTCATATTTATTGTAGTTATTAAAGTAATTTTGTCTATCAACTAATATCTAATATCAAACTAACAATGTATAACATGAATAAGTAATTATAAATATAATTGTTTTTTAAAAATCAATATAATAATCGCCAAGGTTTGTTATAAGCGCACAAATAATATTTTAGAATTGAGGTATCAACGTTTATCATACAATAGACCTATCTTGTTATTAATATCTATTATTACTCATGCGCAAATCCTACTTACTGTTAAAATCATCAAAATTTGTTGTTGTTGTTGTTGTTGTTGTTGTTGTTGTTGTTGTTGTTGTTGTTGTTGTTGTTGTTGTTGCTGTTGCTGTTGTCGTTGTCGTTGCTGTTGTCGTTGTCGTTGTTGTTGTTGTTGTTGTTGTTGTTGTCGTTGTTGTTGCTGCTGTTGTTGTTGTTGTTGTTGTTATTGTTGTTGTTGTTGTTATTGTTGTTGTTGTTGTTGTTGTTGTTGTTGTTGTTGTTGTTGTTGTTGTTGTTGTTGTTGTTGTTGTTGTTGTTGTTGTTGTTGTTGTTGTTGTTGTTGTTGTTGTTGTTGTTGTTGTTGTTGTTGTTGTTGTTGTTGTTGTTGTTGTTGTTGTTGTTGTTGTTGTTGTTGTTGTTGTTGTTGTTGTTGTTGTTGTTGTTGTTGTTGTTGTTGTTGTTGTTGTTGTTGTTGTTGTTGTTGTTGTTGTTGTTGTTGTTGTTGTTGTTGTTGTTGTTGTTGTTGTTGTTGTTGTTGTTGTTGTTGTTGTTGTTGTTGTTGTTGTTGTTGTTGTTGTTGTTGTTGTTGTTGTTGTTGTTGTTGTTGTTGTTGTTTCAGTTATAAATCCGCAAATTACATTTTTATATTGGAGCCAGTGACACTTTTAGATATGTTATTTGCGCAAGGCAAAATTACAAATATTTCGTTCAATCTTACCTTGACCAGCATCGAAAGACGACGTGTTAAAAAACACAGTTTAGATTGTCTTGTGCAAATGTGTACCAAAAGAATGTAACTGGCTTGATATAGGTGGACAAGTACGCACGGACCCAGGACCAACATGAAAGGATGAAGATCCCGGTAGTGTTTTGTTATACTATCTTTTATTTTGAAATATATATATATATATATATATATATATATATATATATATATATATATATATATATATATATTTTTAAACATGTAAATAAAAAATTATTTAGTTAGTTAGGCTTCTCTACTACATAGACTATATGGCAGTTGTTTAAAGTAATAATGACAAGGGGTAATCGCCGTAGTCAGACCAACTAACAGTGGTTAGGTGAGGATAAGAGAGAGATGAAAAAATAAGTTGTACAAAATTACTGAATTCAAAGGTCGCGCGCTTTTTTCGCGCATGAGTAATATGGAATTGTTGAATAACGAAAAAGGTGGATTGCATGAAAAATTATTATTATTAATATTGACGTAGCAATACCACTCAAATCAGGAATTACAACGGTGTACCTACAGGATAATTCTAAACGACGCTACCAAAATAATATCGTAGAAAGATTTTTTTGACGAAATCGAACTATTAGGACGTTAAACGGGGCTTTAAACGAAGCCCTTAATAAAACTTTTTTTTTTATTTCTTAATCGATTTGTATCAAATTGTGTATGTATCATCAGACGTATGTCTAAATTATCTCAACAACATGTTTTTAATTTTTTAAAAGAGGACGCCACTTACACATAAACCCAACTAACCATGAGAGATACATGTTTTTTGCAAGATGCAAAAAATGCTACAAATGAATACAGCTCTCCATAACAAAAATTGATGAAACCAGAGGGGCCTCAAAAAATATACAAAGTCATTTACGCCTCAATTAAAATAGCTACATACCAAATTTTAAAAAATGAAACGAAGCGTTTTTGACGTATTAAAAAGAATGAAAATTGTCTTTCAACTTTGAGGGTTCCTCACAGGTAAAGGAAGCACTTTGTGATATAGGTATTTTTAGCTCAACCGACTAATTTTGATCTCACTAACATACATTAGCTCCATGTACACTATATACATTTTTGCTTCAATACTGTACATTTCTGCTCATGCTGTATTTTATTTGATTTAAATGGCTTAATAACTAAAAAAATATAAACGTGGTCCTGGTGTCATTGCCACCCGGTATAAAGTTTAGATCTGTCATTTATAACCACTAAATATACTCTGTGGTACTTCTTTGTCACAGACAAATATAATTTGTATTCAGATTGTAATATTAATAAAGTATTTTTTTAAAAAGAAAAAAAAAGAAAACTATCACTAACCGACGAGGTAAATTGTAAGCAATACAGGAGCGAAATAATTTATCTGCATTTGAATCTGCAAACCATCTTCAGTCATTTTATTATTAATAGCTCCAACACCAGCATTATTTACCAAAATATCTAATCTCTCTTCATTTTCTATTATATCGAGTGCAATTTTTTTTACAGATTTTAGTGATGCAAGATTCAGTTCCTTGACTACAACATTTTTGTTTTCGGTTAGTGAAATTATTTTATCTTTAGCTTCAGCTGCTTTTTTTAAATCTCTACATGCTAGAATCACTCTAGCTCCTCTTTTGGCAAATTCTAGGGCAGTTTCATAACCAATTCCTAAAAAAGATATTAAAGTTAATAATTTAGTTGTGGACCTACTTTTACAGGGTGTCCCATTACTGCGTAATTGTTTAATATTTCATTTTGTATTATTAACAAGTTTTAAATAAAAGTTCAATGAATTTTAAAAAATTTTGTACATACAGGGTATTGCGTTTTTGCCTGGCAAATAAAAATGTTTGTTTTTAAAATAGAACACCCTGTATTTTATTATTTTTAGAATTGTTTGGTAATACTGTATTCAACCTTAGAATGCTTTTAAAAAATATTACAGTTATGCCAAGCAATTAATTTTTTTTTTGAAACTAGGGAATGATGCAGACCCCAAATTAAATTATTATAATTTAGGTAGGTTTACATTGATTAAAAAATTGTTTAATTTAAAGACTTATAAGATACTAAGCTAACGAATAGTGGTAATAGAACTGGTTTATTTCATACAGAGTGTTTTAAAACATGTCTTAAATATGGCTAATTTTAGGTTCAACTTAATAATATACAGGGTGTTGCATTTGACAAAATTGGGTAAATTTAACTTAAAATTAGCCATATTTAGGTCATGTTTCAAGACATCCTGTATAAAATAAACCTGTTCTATCACCACTATTCGTTAGCTTAGTATCATGTATTTTAAAAAACTTTAAAATTATTGTAAACATACCTTAATTATGATAATTTAATTTGAAATCTGCATCATTATCTAATTTCATAAAAAATTAATTGCTTGGCAAACCTATAATATTTTTAAAAAAAATTCTAGTATTGAATACAGTATTACCAAACCATTCTAAAACTGAAACAAAATACAGGATGTTATATTTAAAAAATATACATTTTTATTTGCCAGACAAAAAAGCAACACCTTATATACGTAGTTTTTAAATGCATATAACTTTTATTTGAAACTTGTTTGCGTGTTAACAACACAAATTTAAATATTAAACAATTACGCACTAATGGGACACCCTGTACACAGGTCGTTTAATTATTTTGCATAAAAATGTAAGGTCAAATTCCTTGGTTCAAAACACGATGGAAGACAATAGGTGTTTCAACTTCCCTAAAATCCCATATAAAAACAAAAGACGATATGGCACCAAACACAACGTAGTTCCAAAAAATTCACCAGAGGTCGTTAAAAGGTGAGGTACCCGTTTGACCATTATAAAATCTAGATAAAGTATATTTTAACATCAACATGTTCCAACTTCAAAATCTGGCCATCAGATGATTGGTCGATCATTTGACAGGTTATTATTTTAATGTTCACAGAGCATAACATTTATTATATTTACGAACAAATATAATTGTATTTTATTTATAACTCTAATAATTTTGCAATATTATTTATTGGTGTTAGTTTAAAGTAATACTTCTTTCATCTTTGACGAGGTCTAGGTTATTGTCTAGTCTAGTTATTGTTGATTTTAGATATGAATGATGTACTGATGGCAATGTCAACTTTTAATTTAGATATCAAAAGTAGAAGTGGGTGATGAAGAAATAAAATAATAAAAAATAAAGACGATAGTAATTGCTGTTATAAGCTTTTATATTATTTTGTAGATAAAGAAAAGAAACGAATAAAGGTATTTTCAATTTTTTAAATGTGTATGTGTGTACATTTTATTAGAATTGGCAGTTCGGCTGTTAAGAAATCATATAAATGTATAATATAAATGTAAACCAGAATGGAATGATTGATAATAATTTGTTTTTTTTTAACATTTATAATGCAAGCTCTTGGCAAATACTAATAAAATTTCCACACTTGAAAAGACCTACCTTTTCTTCGTTTTTCTTTATCAATCTGTATGTAGTTACACCTACAGACCTTTGATTTATTTTGTAAATGGTTAAAGTTGTATAAGTTAATGAATCTATTGAAAACAATCCTCTGCATTTATATTTAATAAAAAGTTTATTACAACACTTATTCATATAGGTAATTAAGGTTTACAGATCATTTTTGTACCTACCCTTTTCATCAATTTGTGGTTCTTACAAGAACCACATTTTATTGTAATTAGAAGATCCCTCCATGTGAAGTTGTTTAGGACTGGTAACAAAATAAGCATGTATCTTTGGAATGTGTTTATTAATTATCTAAAATGTGGCAGTTATAATTTAATACCTACTCTTCTGTAAACATAACATCAAAATAGCACTTAACACTTATTTTTTCAAAATCCGTTTTAACAATATTTACAATTTTGTAGGAAAGAATACACACTATTTTCCTTATTTATTGTTGTCTTGTACACTAAAAATGATGAAAAATAGTAATGTTTTCTCACTTTGTTTTGATGAAATATATAGGTGGTTATTATTATAAGTATGTGGTATAGTATTTTTCTTCTCGTTTTCACTTTCCATTTCGTTTGTTACATAGAGTATGATTAGTAGACATTAATTACCATTATTTAAAAAAAAATGGATACAGACGTATTATTTACTCGATAAAGATACAATTAACTGATTTTTTCTGATAGTTCGCAGTGATTATTTGTTTTCATTTGAGGTACGTCACCTTTTAGCGACATCTGGTGGATTTTTTATATACCATGCAGTTTTTGGTGCCAAATTTTAAAAAGAGTTTAAACACCTGTAAAATGTCATTCACCGGTGTTCAAAATAATATGATAAATAGTGTCTATACACATTATGTGAGAAAAGGCTTCAGGGATACAGGGTGTTGTTACTTAAAAAATATATACAGGGTGATCCATTAGTGTGGAAAAGTCCAATATCTCCGCCATTGTTAGAGATATAAAAAAACATTTTCACATAACGGTAGACAGCGTTAAACTACATATTTTAAAATTATTTAATAACTTCCCTCTGGAACCAACTTATTTTCTTTTTAATAGATCACCCTGTATTTTATTTTATATTTGAATTGCCCTTGCTTTTCCGATTCTAAAAATGTAAATTTATATTGGTTTATACAGGGTATTTTGCAGGATATAATCAGTTTTGTATGAAAATCGTATTGAATTCAAAGACCTACATCATGCAAAAGAAACCATTGATAACCAATTTTTTTTCTGCCACAATTTTTCAAACATGGTCAAATTTTATCAGGAGACACTACTTTTTTCAATTCGCATTAAATCTGTACAGGGTGAGTCAAAACACAAATACATAATTTTCTCAATTTTTTTAAATGGTTCACCCTGTATTTTATATCATCGTTCAAAAGTATCCTAATTATACATTAATTTGACTTAAGCATTCCCTATACCAAAAGTTAATAGTTTTAATTAATGCGCACGATTCCCCAACATTGGCGCACCATTACCCGCAACAGCATGAAAAGGTGCTCAAGAGCACTTTTGTACTTTCAGCAGTATTGTACTTTAAATATTTTATTTTTTCCTAAAATTGATTTACGTGCTGAGAGTAGACTAAATAGCACCCCCATTACGGTATTTACATTTAAATTATCTACAATGCTATCAGTGCTATAACGATTTTCGCTTAGGTGCGCACAATTCCCATACTCCCTATTCCCTTATATGTCAAAATAAGAGAAATTTTATTAAAGGAAGTTCAGAAGATATTGTTTGATACCCAACTCTCTTATCACAAACTTTATTGGAGTGACTTTTGGATCTATCACAGTTATATGAAATTATATAAAAAATAATATATGAAAAACTTTATTTTTGTATTCAGGGTGGGGCCTTTAACTGGAACCAATTCGCTAGAGCCGCAGGATCGAATATTTAAATAAAACGCGAAAAAAGGTCGACTGAATTTTTTGTGTTTTTGTGGGCTTTCCAGTCCCTTTTATGTGATGAAACCTAACCAAACTTAATTTTTTTTAAATGGGATGATACTTGTTCGAAAGCTTTTTTAAAAAGAAAATTGGCTATGCAATTTTTTCTCATTTTAATTTATAGAAAACTTATCTGGTCAAAAAATAAAAAAACAGTTGCTTTTATATTTTTTGGTGCAATGGTGCTATCAGTTTTTATTTTTTTTTTAATTATAACAAATTATATCAATAATTAAGGAATAATTAATTCATTGTTGCTTCTGTCATTTTTTGTTTTCATTTATTTTTAAGCATGTTTTTAAAACGTTATTAATTTTTTTTTATTTTATCAAAAACTACATGTCAAAACAAAAAAAAAGAGTACCTTCAGGTTATTTTTCACCATAGAATTGCTTTTTTAAAAAAAGTGTTTTTGACCGAAAAAAATTATTATCTCAAAATTTTTGATTTTTATTTAATTTTTTTTTATGCTTAATTAAGGCACTTAATATTTTCACCAAATTTCAACAAAATAAAATTATTTTTGAAAAAAGAAAAAATTAAAAAAGGAGAAAAAAATTCGAAGGAACTTTTGCATTTTTATCGAAAATTTTGAGGTTATGTTAAAAAGTGACTTTCACAAAAGCTGTAGATTTTTGCTTTATTCATATTTTTGTTTTTGACGTTAACTTTCGCCGGGAGTAGCGGTAATGCCATTTTTCACCCCTTTTCAACCTCCTAAAACTTTACTTCAACCCCCCTTGCCAATGAAAGTTGATTTTTTTTTAATTTACCAAAAAATGAAAAGATATTTCGACTGGCTGGTTTTGAAATGAAAGCACTGTATATTTTACGATTGTAACTTTGATACAAAATAATTACGTCTTCTGATTCTGTGGTAAATCAATGAATTTGTTTAAAACAAATTTAAAAAAGAATTAATGGAGCTCCTGAATTATAAAAAAATTTCATTTATTTAAATTAGACACACTTTCAAACGAGAAAATTTTAATTTTTGATTTTTTAATATGTTTACTGAATTAATAAACAACCGGTGTCCTGGCAACATGAAAAACCTTGTAAATACGAATTTTTTAAATAGTTTTAAATAAGACATAAATTTTATCAACTTACAAAAATATAATTCTCTACACACTTTATATAAAAAACTATCTGTCCGATTAAGTTTGGCCTCTATACAAAATTTAAAATTTAGACAATTTATCGCGACCTACTTTCATTAAAAATAAAAAATGAAAGTTGTTTTTTGGAAATTTTGACATTTGAATGCAGTCTGAATAGAATTTATACATTATTCATACCTGTATTAGCTCCCGTTACTAAAACCGTTTTTCCATTGAGGCAAACTTTACTTGTACACCAACGCTTTTTAGCCACATAATAAATTTTTATTAAAATTAGCACTACTATAAAAAATTTTAAAATTATCATTTTGACCTCCTACACATTAAAGGCTGCATATCAACAATGATTTTAGAATCAGTAACTGTTCATGCTTTTCCATTGTTTATTAATTCTTAATTCATAAACAGATCCGGACTGAATATAAAATTAAAAATAAAATTAAAACTTGTATGTGCCTAATTCCTAAGTAACTGTAGAAAAATTAAGTTTTATGATAAATCGGCGTTAATTTGCAATAAAATTCATTAATTTTGAAAATCAAAAAGAGAAATGAGCATATTGACCATATGGTTTTCACAGTCGTGAATTCGGCTTTTCTAATAGACACTTTTGGGGAAAGAGTTTTCAGGAAAGACAAAGGCGCCAATAATTATGTTTTTTATTTTTTAGGAACCTAGTAAGAATTATAAACTCTCTTTATCGAAAAGAAAATTAATTCAAACTTATATATAATTTAATTAAAAACAGATTTGTTGTAACCTTTAAAACTTTAAAAATAAGTTCCAACATAAATATAAATGAATTTGTTTATTTTATTAATTGTGTAAATATAATTTTGACATAGAATTAACTATACTGAAATTTTCATTAACATAAATAATTACATTTTGTTTTTTGTTATTGAGATAAGGTCGTAAATTGAAGTATATCATAAAACGTTGTACAATACCTACACGCCTGTTACATAGATCTTCACATGCCAGCATGATCGTTAATGTGCGAGCGCTAGCGAGCACGTTATAAGACCGTGCGAGCACGTAGAGATGAGGTAACGGGCGTGTAGGTACCGTACAACGTTTTATGATATACTGCAATTTACTACGTTTTACAACCTAAAATCAAAAAAAAAATTATCATATGACACCATCATTACAAGTTTCCGAATGTGACTTAAAATAATAACAGTTCAGTTGTAACTAACCCGTTATGATACCCTTAACAATTATAAACAGAGGTTGGTTACCACGGTATACTATTGTATTATATCATAAAATTTTCAACGAGGTTATGCCTGTAAAAGACTTCAAATCCCTATCTGTCTTAAGAAGATTGGAAAGTGTTTGAGTTTTTGAGATATTAATCTGTATACCACTGTAAACAGTTTTGGAAATTGAGACACTTTTTAACTATAATGAGGCATTTCCAGCTTCCAAATCCTGGTCACTATATTCAATTACTTCCATCACAAGTCACTTTCAGTTAAATTATCTTTACGTTAAGCGTGTTTTAAATAAAAATGTAACGTTATGCGTATTTTTATATAATTATGGGACCATCTATGTCCCTGTGGTTAAATAACAAAATATATCACTCTGGGCCTAAATGACGTAAGAACTCTATAATGCCTTAAACTTGGCTTCGTAGCCCTTAACTGTATAAGGGTTCTACTCTTGATATCAGAACCTAACCTAAGGGCTGAAGAAAACACAGTGTTCTCAAAACGAATATAATGATATAAATATTTACACAATAATTACATAGAACAATGTGGCAACTGAACATACACAAATACGGGCTAACCCTAAAATAAATATCTTAAAAACAAATTAACTAACCAACTTCAATTTTGGGGTACACGTCACAACTTTTGACTAGGTTAGGAGGGCATACGAGAAGTTCCAAAGCAATTTACCGAAAAAATATGAAAAATAAGAAAACGATGAAACAAGGCGAACTAACCTAACCTTCGTTCAGGTGAACGCATGTCGCAACGACGATTACATCACGCACATTTGTACTACTGCGCTTGCGCAAAAATCTTGGTGGTGGGGGTAATGAATTATTTGTTTAAAGTATTGAGACATTAAAGACTCTTCCAGTCTACTGAGACATTTTCTAATAAGAGTAGCTTCTCTAAAAATAACAAAAAAATGTCCTCATTGTCAAAAACTGATTATTTAACTCTCTTGAATCTAAATGAAATTAACGCTTTGTCGCCACAGGAAATGGCACAAGATTACGAAGAATTATCCAAAGAATGGTATCACTTAATATTAAATGAAAAGGACTTTAATTTACTTGCTTGTGCTCCAAATATTAAATGGTATTCTATTTGTCGATGTCATCTAATAGCAGACGATGGTAGTACAGCACATGAACATCTTCATGCTTTAATACATTTTACTAATGGATTTACAATGTTAGCCTACAAAAAAAACTACAGCGCACTGGTACACAACTCCATTCAAAAACAAATTTCAAGAAAATAATTTGCTTGGACCATGCTGTTGGTGTCCTCAGATACATCACCTGTGCTGATGGACAAAAGCCGCTTAGAAGGGATGGAGATGGTCTTAGAGGTACACCTCATTCTCATTACGATAGAAGAGTATTCAAACAAGATTGGTTACATTCCCGAGGAAAACAGTGTTGCTTAGTACGCACAGAAATTTCAGAATTAGCGTCTGAAGGTGTAAAAGACTTAGAAAACTACACATCTGAACACGAACTTCATGATAAATCCACATGTAGATGTGATAGAGGTGCCGAAGGAATAAGGCGGAGGGAAGAAGCTAACGAGAAACGGAGACAATTTTACAAAACAGAACGGGGAATTGAAATTAGGAATAATTACAAAGAAAAGCAAATTAAGAAAAAGAAACTAATTACAAGTTTACTGAAAATGGGCCTAAATAAAAAAGCTGAGCTTCAAAGAGAGATAATTTTGAAACTTATTGAGTTACTGTAAATATTTAATACGGTTACGTTAAAAATATAATTTAAAAAAATGTATTTTATTTTCATTGTCCAATGTTGACTTTACCCTATAACAAATAACTTTCCCCCATTTAAATTATTAGCAATATTTGTCCTATCTTTACTTAAATGTCCACACCAGCACTCTACTGTCCAGAGTGAACTACACGTTTTTCATTTAAAAAGCATTGGTGTCCAAGATCCTATATGTTACACCCTCCCACCCCTTCAGATTTTTTAATAATTTAAAAATAGTTATAACCCTACATCTTATATGTTACACCCTCCCACCCCTCCAGATTTTTTAATAATTTAAAAATAGTTTTAACCCTACATCCTACAACCTAGACCCTCCACCTACGAATTGTTTAAAATCTCGTACAGCTAACATATATTCCGTGATAATATATACCCATATAAATAGTTTAAATCCAACCACTAGTAACCGAGATATGTGCTTAGGCCCTTACGGCATGATTGTTCTCTTCAACATTGAAAATCTCTTACACCTAACACCCATTAATAATTTATTAATCCCTTCCTATTTTATACCTTATAAATGCGCATGCGCAAACATCTCCACTTTTTAGTAGAATGGACCTTAGCAATTTCCCATGTTAATTTACATAAGGATTGGGCTGGTTCTCTTGCCCTTCCTTTACTTACTTCCCATACCATTTGTATGTGAGTGTATTGTCTGAAAATGTCAGATTTAAATAAGTGAAGAAATATAAAAAATAAGTGGTACCTGCTTTTCAGAAAAAAGTAAAAAATATTAACAAAACATTTTGCTGTTTCGTCTAGACTCAAGGCAATCTAAAAAAAAGTATCATTCAGCCAGATAATAATTATGTTCTGAATAATCATGCCCCAATACTAAAAGAAAGCCATATTTTTGTCGATGTCCATGTTAAACTTGCTTATTCTAGCAATATTATAAATTATGCTTGCTCTATAAAGCTGTAGGAATAAACCTAATCATTACAATTATCAAACGATTTAGTAAGGTTATGATATAGTTTAAGTAATACAGTGCAGCAATTTGAAACTATTATACAGCAAACCATGGTGAACTTGTTTTGTAGGAATTACTTATACAGCCTAATTATCACAGTTGTTTTTATTACAATAATATTTTATAAATATGATTCTGTCTTAAAATAACTTCCTAATACCTTTGAATAGCCGCCATATTTAACAAAAATCTAAATCTACTGTCGGTTTTACTAGTTTATAAGACAAAACCAATGTTAATTAAAGATTTTTTATCATTAGTAATATTAACATAATCTTAGTAATAAAACGAATGGTGTAAATTTAATTTTTGTTTCACACTAAAAAATATTAGAAATATTAATCGAAAGCTTGAAAATTAGTTGCCGCGGTTAATCCAACCATTCGGCAAATTTGTCTAAAAGCATGAAATTTGACACACACGTATTTTAGGTCATTATAAGATTTTTGACCCGGGGGGCAAAGCCATTTTTTGAGTTTGACTCAAAATGGCGTCTTTTTTCAAAATGACCGACTAACAATTCGCAACTGTTAATTATCAACAGTTTTCATCACCTAATATGTCGATTTTGACAATTTTTTTGGCGTGCAATTCATTAAAATAACTTTTTTTTAGTGCAGTGTTAATTTATTTGATAAATTTGTACAGGGTGGTTAAAAGTGTACGTCCAATATGAGAATTTCGATGCTTATGAGCTTAGTCCAGCAAATCTTCTTCTTCATATGCACTAAAAAAAATAAATCGGTTAATAAATCATAAGAATATTTATGTTATACTATTTACCACTTATTTACACATGTATCCTTGCACTTGCACTGTAATGTACGTCAGTCCTGCGCGCCGACATGAGATTTACAGCCGTACTTTTCCAGCTCCCTGCATGCTGTCCATATAGATGAAAGTGTTGACCAAACTGGCTCCCAGACTTCATTGCACTGCACCCAACCCCAAGAAATTGGTGTCGGTGGGTCACACTTGAACATGTCCAATGATCTACCCCAAATTTGGCCAGCTTGATATGCAGCACGAAGGCAGTGTTGCAACAGTGCTGCGGAGCTAGGGGGAATTAGGTGTAGCGGCTTATTTTCAGTACAGAACAGGTGCTTTCGAAGCTGATCGACTTTGGAGAATCCTGTAGTTGCAACATACATCATTGATGTAAAGTTTTCAAGAAGTGGCACTCTTTGTGGTATTTTGCTCCCAGTACCACTAAATCTCTAGAATTAAGCATTGCTAACAATTCTGAATTCTCCAGAAGCACTATTTAATACTCTTTCGTGAATCTGCTTAGTTTCACACCTATGTAATGCTTGTATTTTTGATTCAGGATTTTTGCATAGAAAACATAACTGATTTTGCGGAACAGCAAATGTTACCTTA